ATCTCTACCTAGCACTAGGCCTTTTGGGAGCTCACTGGCTTCGGAGTTCATTAAAACTCTGAAGTTAAGCGAGTTCGAGCGAGAGCAATCTTAGGATGGGTTACCCACTGGGAAGTTCTCGTATGAGTTCCCACAAACAAAACCGTGAGGGCGTGGTCGGGGCCCAAAACGGACAATATCGTGCTACGGTAGAGTCGAGCCTAGGATGTGGTGGGGGCACGGGCCGAGATGTGACAATTTGGTATCAGAGCCAATCTCTAACTGAAAGTGTGCCGACGAGAACGTTGGGCCCCTAAGGGGGGTGGATTGTTAGATCCTACATCGCCCAGGGGTGAGGATCATGTAAGCCTTATATGTATATTCCCATCTCTACCTAGCACGAGACCTTTTGGAAGCTCATTGGTTTCGGAGTTCATCGGAACTCTGAAGTTAAGCGAGTTTGTGCGAGAGTAATCCCAGTATGGGTGATCCATTGAAAAGTTCTTATGTGAGTTCCTAGAACCAAAACTGTGAGGGCGTGGTCGGGGCTCAAAGCGAACAATATTGTACTACGGTGAAGTCAAGCCCAGAATATAATAGGGACCCGGACCGAGATGTGACATCCGAAGACTACCCAAGTCTGAGCAACGGCGGGCAAAGAAAGAACCAGGAGGCCTTTTAGAAAATTAGGCCTTTGTTTTTGGGCCAAGATAGTTTTCTAGCTTTTAGAAAATTAGACCACGTCACTTTACTTTAATGTCATTGCATTTTTTGTTTTTGTTGAAATTATTTCCTTTTGGATCTCTACCGCTACATTCATCCTTCCTTTTTCTAGGCTATTTTTTTGTTGTTATCAATTTCATCTTGGTTGTGTGTATGTTCTTTTCTTTCGTTCCTTTTTTTTTTTTTTTTTTTTTTTTCATTTGTTTGATTTGTTTTTTTAATTAAAGATGATAATTCTACACTTGATTTACAATAAGAGAGCAGGAAAAGTTGACCTTGGACACAATGAGTTGAAGAGAAAAGCCTTAACCACTAAGACAATCCACTACTTGTGTTTTGCTTCATTTTAAACCAGTCATACAAACTAAAATAAATACATTTAGGTATAAAAAGCTAAAGGTAAAACCTTGTGTTTCATTTTGAAAATGTCCCAAACTATACTATGTAGCGCGCAAACTACATTTAGTCTTTGTAACTTGTAACGTTGTTTGTACAAAGATTATAAATGAAAATTTTGTAGTTTATCGTTTAATTTTTCAATAATATTTTTGTCTAATTTTTTTAGAGCTTTTAGATTGGGATCACCCGATAAAATTCTGGATCCACCACTAATTAGAGATGGTCCTGTTTGGGCCCAAAATAATATTGTTGGGCCGAGCAGCAGGATGTGCTCGGCCCAAGGTTATGTCATACTGTGGGCCGAATGATAAATCCCGGGCCTGTTAGCAGGGTCGGTCAAGTCCTACCCTAAGTAATCTGGATAAATAGAAAAGGTCGAGGGAGTCCTGGTGCGACCAGGATTCCCGACCGGCAAAGAATAAAGCCTCGAAATGAAGGAAAATTCAGAATCACAGTGGGAGTAGGTTTGTTCGAGTTAGAGTTGAAACGGGACAAGGACTCCCAATCCAAATCAGAATGCGAATCGGTCTCAAGGAATGGGGTGCTATAAATACAAGAAATCATGCAACAGAAAAGCCCCTTCAAATCAGCATACAATTGCCCTGTGCAAAACCTCTCAAATACCTTGAGATTTTTCCTTTTCCTTTTCCGCCGACATACCTTCAGTTTGGATAAACAACACTGTGGAGGCACCCGGCGAGCATCTTCAGTTTGGATAAACAGCACTGCTGCCGCAGAATCAGCCGACCGAGAAACACCTTCAGTTTGGATAAACAGCACTGCGTCGAGGTCGATCGGTTACCTATCTAAGTCTCGGCCGAGAAAGGTTTTCGAACCTTCGTTGGCAGAGGTCACCTTGCTAGCCTTCTCGGCATAGTCAGGTGTTACGAATTACATTGCTCGGCGTACTAGACGCCGAGTGATTTTATGATTGGATACTCGCAAGTAAGTTTCAGGGTTCGGCATTCCGACAGCCAAACTACGTTTACCATCAAGACATACATCACATTTGAGTACCTGTGCCCATATAGTTTGGTCTCGATTCGGCGTGCTTATACTCTTACAAATATAATCACAGTGACCGAATCGAGCTCCGACGATTTGTGAACTTCGCAGAATTAGTAGCCTTGTCTTCAGGCTATAGAACCCAGAGACCGAGAGTGTTCCTTCCTCGGTCGCAATCTATAGAGAAGTCAACGACGCGCTCAAGGCGACATCAACAAATTTTACTCCTCGGCCAAGCTCGGCTGACGAGTTGGCACGCCCCCGCGTTCAACCGAAGGACGTAGTTAGCTTGTTAGTTACTCAGCCTGCGCGCCACGTAGGTTTTGTAATTTTTAGAGTCAACAGGTCCACACTTTGATAAAATATTAGTGAAACAAGCAACGATAGAGTGTCTAATCCTACATTCCTAACACATTCTAATGGAAACAAGGAAAGCAATAACAATTGATGAATTATATTATCCTTTATTTCTCATTCGTATCGTTGCTCAAGAAATTATTTTGATGAAATGGGTTTATAATATGAATGCATTAGCTTTAAATACTAAAAAAAAGGGCATAATCACGAATCCGTTGTCGATCAAGAAAAGAGGACGAAACATAAATTTGATTTGAAAATCCAAAAGGACTAATAAATTCTTTGCTTTTCTTTTTTTTGAGCTGTGTTTGGGGTTACCGGTTTTTTCCTTCCGCACTCTCCACGTAACAAAACACACACACCAAACACAACCCAAACCTCGTTTATTCAAGTACTCACCCGCTTTTGCAGTTAAGAAAAACCCGCCAACGAACAACGGTAACATCTTCTTCTATTTAAATTGTGAATCTAATTTTGGTCAAAGGCCACACCTTTACACGAATTATAATCCCTTCAAGTTATGCCTGTAAGGTGTTTGTTGTCTGACGAAATGCCTAAGTAGTTCTGAATCGACGAATGAGTATCTAATTTGTTCGAAAGTAATCCAGGAATGGATGTGGCACGTTGTAATTTGGAGGGCAATGCCGATGCTGTAGAGTTTTGTCCCCACGACGCGTGCCGCCATGTTCTGGCAGCTTCAACGTACACACTGCAAGAGGGTGATCGGCTGAGCCGAGCTGGAAGTATCATCGCTTTTCAACATTGGGGCTGAATTGGGTCGGCTTGATTTGTTTCAGCGGATTGAAACAGCGGGGATTTTCGATATTAAGTGGAACCCAGTTGGATTCAGTGTGAGTCCTCTTCTTGCTCAAGTCGACGCTGATGGTTACTTGAGAATTCACGGTCTAGAGTCGTGCTCAGATGAAGCTCAAGGAATGGAATGCTTATGTGTTCCTTGAGTAGTAAGCAATGAAAATATTTTAAGGGTTTTCAATATGATCAATGTCTATATGCTGAAGTGTTGTGAAATTTTGGTGCAGAGTTTTCTTTGAAAGAGATAACTGATGAAAAGATCAGTCCTTCCATGTGCCTTTTCCTGGATTGGAACCCTTCAGCCACGTCTATCACCGTGGTGCTTTCAGATGGTTCAATCCGGGAATCCCAACTTGAGGCAAACGAAATGTGGAATGCGCACGATTTTGAGGTTTGGACAACTTCATTTGATATCCACCAGCCCCAGTTGGTAAACTGGTTCAGATGACTGCAAATTCAAATGCTGGGATTTGTGGGACGGTCCTTCCAACTTTGGCATTTCAGAACACAAGGGCCCACACAATGGGAGTTTGCTGCATAGCCAAAAATCCCAACGACACGAATAGCGTAGTTACTGGTAGCTATGATGAGTACCTGAGGGTGTGGGATGTAAGATCAATATAAAAAACCTATTAATGAAACCTCTATTTGCTTAGGAGGAGTTGGAGAATCAAGTTCCATCCTTTTGCAGCCGGTCTCGTCTTGACAGCTTGTATGCACAACGGGTTTTCGATTGTCAACATTAATGGGGATAAAACCGAAGTGATTGAAACATACAGCAAGCATGAGTGACTTGCATATGGAGCTGACTGGCACACAGACATATCACTCCATGAAGGCAAAAGGAATAGCACTTTAGTTGCTACTTGCTCATTTTATGACCGGCTTCTTCGGATATGGACACCGGAAAGCGATTCGCAAGGTTTTGCCATTTGAGTACATCACTTTAGTTGAGCTGGGAACGATCCAAATGGTGTCACCTTCGGGGATTCTGCATTCGCACCTCATTAGGTACGGATTAGTCATGGAACCTATCTGTTGGCTTTTGAAGTTTCTGATTTTTATTATGGAAATCATGATAAGAGCATACGCAGGTTACAAATATATAGGGGAGTTTGAGTGAGTTCCAAACTACACTCAACACTCAAGTTACCATCCCAAATCTCCTTGAATCATGCTAAACAGCCGGCATAGGGAACATAACTAAACTTCTTGGATTAAGGAGTTGACAACAAGATAAGACCCTAATACAAGTTGATAAGAACAAGAAGAAAATAAACGGCTATTAACTAGGTCAACCACTAATAGAGTTGACAAAAACCTTATTACCCAGATAATACCAAGAAACCCTAATCATGAGGAACCCTAAGTAACCAGAGGTCTTTCAATACTCCCCCTCAAGCTGGATCCAGAAGGTTGATGGATCCAAGCTTGCCGAGAAGCTTTTGAAACTAATGGGAGGCTAATGGTTTGGTGAATAAGTCTGCAAGTTGATCGTGGCTCCTAACAAAATGAGTTTTGATGACCTGTGATTGTACTTATGCATGAATATAGTGACAATTAACTTCAATGTGCTTGGTTCTCTCGTGGAAGACGGGGTTGGAAGTAATGTGCATTGCTGCCTAGTTGTCATAGAAAAAGGACATGGAATGAGGAGTGAAGACACTTAAGTCGCATATTAGACCTTTCAGCCATATTAGTTCACACGCAGTAGATGTCATGGCTCAATATTCAGCCTCAGCACTTGATCTTGCAACGACTGCTTGCTTTTTACTTTTCCATGTAACAAGGTTGCCTCCCACAAATGTGCAATACCCTGTTGTAGACTTATGATCAATATAATTACCAGCCCAATCAGCATCACAATAACCTGTGATCTGAGTGCTCTCATTCTTCTTCATGATTATGCCACGACCCACTGAACCTTTTAGGTACCGAATTATTTTTTTGACAAGATTAAAATGCTCCATCATGGGAGAGTGCATAAATTGGCTAGCAATGCTTACTGAATAGGCTATGTCAGGCTTTGTGATAGTCAAATATATCAACTTACCAACAAGTCGCTGATAATAACTTATGTTTGGAAGTGGTTGCCCCTCCAAGCTGAGTTTGAGCTTGATTTCAAGAGGTGTATGGACAGGTTTAGCATCACTCATATTTGCTTCCTTGAGAAGATCTTAAACATTTTTTTGCTGGCTGAGAAAGAAACCCTTGTGAGAGGTTGCCATTTCTATGCCAAGAAAATATCTCAGTATTCCAAGATCTTTAATTGCAAAACGTTGTTGTAGTGAACGCTTGAGCTCCTTTATTTCTTCAGGGTTGTCTCCTATAATGATCAAATCATCTACATATACAAGGACTACCAATTTCCCAGTAGTTCCTGTGTGCACGAACAGTGAGGAGTCTGCGTTGCTTCTTTTAAAACCAACACTTGTAAGGATTGAACTAAGCTTGGCATACCAAGTTCTCGGTGATTGTTTAAGACCATAAATCGATTTGTGCAATTTACACCAACATTAGTTTCATGACTTTGAGGATGACACGGGGGTAATCTCATGTAGACTTTTTGTGACCTCCCACATCGCCCAGGGGAGTGGATCATGTGAGCCTTATATGTATATTCTCATCTCTACCTAGCAAGAAGCCTTTTGGGAGCTCACTAGCTTCAAGTTTTGTAAGAACTCCGAAGTTAAGCGAGTAACGTGCGAGAGCAATCCTATGATGGGTGACCCACTGGGAAGTTCTCGTGTGAATTCCCAAAAACAAAACCATGAGGGCGTGGTCGGGGCCTAAAGCGGACAATATCGTGTTACGGTGGAGTTAAGCTCAGGATGTGGTGGGGGTCCGGGCCTGGATGTAACAATTTGGTATCGGTGCTAATTCTTGACCAGATGTGACATCCCACATAGCCCAGAGGAGTGGATCATGTGAGCCTTATATGTATATTCCCATATATTCCCATCTATACCTAGCACAAGGCCTTTTGGGAGCTCATTGGCTTCGGGTTCCATGAGAACTTCGAAGTTAAGCGAGTAGCACGCGAGAGCACTCCCATGATTGGTGACCCATTGGGAAGTTCTCGTGTGAGTTCCTAGAAACAAAATCGTGAGGGTGTAGTCAGGGCCTAAAATGGACAATGTTGTGCTACGATGGTAGAGCTAGCCCGGGATGTGGTGGACCTTGGGTTGGATGTGACAATTTGGTATCAGAGCCAATTCCTGACCAGATGTGTGCCGACGAGGATGTCGGGCCCTCAAAGGTGGATTGTGACATCCCACATCACCCAAGGGAGTGGATCATGTGAGCCTTATATGTATATTCTCATCTTTACCTAGCACGAGGCTTTTTCGAAGCTCATTGGTTTCGGGTTCCATAGGAACTCCGAAGTTAAGCGAGTAGCGCGTAAGAGCACTCCCATGATGGGTGACCCACTGGGAAGTTCTTATGTGAGTTCCCAGAAACAAAACCGTGAGGGTGTAGTTGGGGCCTAAAGCGGACAATATTGTGCTACGGTAGTAGAGCAGGCCTGGGATGTGGTAGACCTCGAGCTGGGATGTGACATTTCCAATCTTCACTAACATTCTCATCGAAAATCACATCTCTAGAGATAACTATTTTCTTGGTTTCAAGATTATATAACCTGTAACCCTTTTCACAGGTTCCATAACCAAGAAATACACATTTGACACTTGTTGCATCCAATTTCTGTATCATATGTGATGGAACTTGTGGTTAACATAGAGATCCAAACACCCTTAAGTGTTTCACTCTAGGTTTTCTTCCATTATAGGCTTCAAATGGAGTCTTGTTATTCAGGACTTTGGTAGGGCATCTATTGAGAGTATAGACTGTAGTGTTAATTACTTCTGCCCAAAACTCAAATGGCCATTTCTACAATGGTCATATTTATCCTCTCTGCAACACCATTTTGTTGAGGAGAATAGGTCACTGTGAGCTGTCTTTCCAAGCCAAGATCTTCACAAAACTGAGAGAATTCAAGAGAAGTGTACTCTCCTCCTTTATCACTTCTTAATTTCTTAAGCTTGTACCTACTTTGTAGCTCAACAGTTGCTTTGAATCTCTTGAACACACCAAATGCCTTAGACTTACTCCTCAGAAAGTAGGTCCACAAATATTAGTATGAACCAACTGCAATGGTAGAGTAGCTCTCAAATTGGTTTCCTTAGGAAAAACATCTCTGCAATGCTTGCCAAGTGCACATCCCTCACACAATGTGGTGTTTACTTTCAACTCAGGTGATCCAGTCACCATTTCATGCTCTTGTAGCTGCATTAGAGCACTCATGTTCAAAGGCCCTAGTCTTCTGTGATATATCTCAGCAGTTTGTCCAACACTAGCTTTCATGACTATTTGAATTCCTGGTTGCAACTTTAGAGGAAAGTTTCTATTTCCTTTCATAGGAATCTTAACAACTAAGTTGGAACATGTGAAATCATCATAAATTCTAACTTTAGTACCCCTAAATACAAGGTAGTACCCATGCTCCGTCATCTATCCTACACTCAACAAATTTTCTTTTAAACCAGACACCAACATTATCTCTTTTATGTACCTTTTGCCTTGCTTAGTTTCAACTAGCAAGTCAAATTTTCCAGCTACATTAACCAATTACCCTATGCCCATCTCAACTTTGGCAGTGACACTCCTATCAATATTCACCAAGAGGTTTTCTCTCCCTGTCATGTGATTGCTACAGACATTATCAACATACCAAATGTCTTCACCCTTCTTCACAGCAGCTAACATACGGATATAGAACATTGTTGGAGTGCTCTCCATTTGACCAGCATAATTCATTTGCAGCTTTCTTAGACTTGCAATCTTTGGCAAAATGACCTGGCTTATCACAATTATGACACCTTGTCTTTCCCTTGAACCAACATTCTTCGAAATGCAATTTGTCACAATATTTGCAAGGATTCTTGGCTCCATCAGAAGTTCCAACAAATTTCCCTTGCTGATGCACATGTTTGTTATCCCACTTCTTACCCTTTGTCTTCTAATTCTTTGTTGGTTTGAAATTTTGATTAGCATTATAATTGTTCCTCTTGGGAGCTATACTCAAACTAGCAAATGCCTTCTCATTGCTATTTTCAGAATGTCTTTTAATTCGTTGTTCATACCTTTTTAGAGTAGCAACAGCATCCTGCACATCAACAATCTCCAAACCTCTAGTATTTTCAATCACAGCAACAATACTATCATAGGATTTAGGAAGACTAATCAATAACTTCTGCACAATTGTTTGATTTCCAATATCTTCACCATAACTTTTCATTTATGTAATAAGATCAAGTAATTGCACAAGATACACAAAGAATGTCTCGTGCTCACCTATTCGAGTATATTCAAAATCATGCCTTAAACTTTGAAGTTTCACAGATCTTACCTGCTTGTCACCAACAAACTCTTGCCTCAGTACATCCCAAGCTTCTTTTGTTGTCTCTAGTATGGCGATCCTTGGGAAAATTTCATCCGACACAGCTCCTTGAATGATGCCGATAATGTTAGCATCCTTGACTATGTTCTCCTTTAGAAGCTTAAGCTCGTTTGCAGTGAGATCTTCTTCTTTCTTTACTGGGGGACTATATCCCTTCTTAGCCATATCCTATAGATCGTGAGATTTGAATATGGTATTCATCTTTATCTGCCAAAAATCAAAGTTTTCTCCATTTAAAATTGGTGCTCGAAGATCAGCAATACTCGATCCAGCAATATTAGACTTGTTATTGAGTAACCCAGAAACTTTCAGAGTTTTCTTGAGTAGCAGCAAGACCCAATTCTCCTCCGACTTTCTAAGCTGCCAAACACGTCACAGATTCACGTCCAGATTGAGATCAAACCTGGCTTTGATACCATGATAGTGTTTGATTTCTAGGTTGAATTGATTCAATGGAACAATGTATATGAAATTGAAAATGTGTAGATAAAGATTAGAGAGTCATGGAAGCTTCAAGGTCTGAGAATGCTCATTGGATTCTACTCCCTCGAGCGAGAAGCTCGGAAGGAATATATGACTGTTGGAGGAGGAGTAACAAACTCACTCTCTCTTATCATTACAAAAACAATCACAATCATCTATTCTTAAGTCATCATGTAAGATGCTTACACTTGTCATGAGTTATGACTCACTATAATCTAATCTAAGATGCCATATGGAATATGATCCAATAACTCACATTAAATCCTACAACCTGCATATAAACTAGCCATCACAACAAATACATTTACACATATCCAAAATGTGTTTGGACTACTGCGAATATACTACACACTGCTTGAATGCTTGAAAAGGGGTGCTGTTGGGATCATAGCTGGTGTCTACATGGACAAATGGTCCTAAAAAACTCCTTTATTCACCTTACTTTGCATAACTTCTTTCCAACTCTTCTTCATTGTTCTCCAGAAGCCTTTCATTAAAAAAAAAGGTTCAGCTGGTGTAGATCATCTTGGTTTCCAGTGAAGTCGGATTATATGCAACTTGTTTGGTTCTCTTGGAGAAGGATTTTTCAGCCGGCGACAAGACTAAACTTGGAATTTTCATGTTATTTTTGTTCCTAGTCGGATTTGTTGCACAGATGATTAATGAATAGTATGCATTGTACAAATAAACGTTGTTGCTAGATCCTGCTGAGGACTTCTTAATCGGTCTGAAATTAGCTTTAGTCGGATGCCTTCTGTTCCAAGTGAGTCAACATGCCAAGTGAGCATTGAGGGATCCTACTTCCCCTATTGGAGGGTACTGGAGTTCAGCTGCAACAAATAAACCATGGCTAAAACAACTTAGAGAGATGGCAAAATCTAGCTTCAGTAAAGAAGGAAGCAGAGTCACAAATGATCATTCGAGTCGTCACACTCGCACCAGATAGAACGCGTTTTGGAGTGCGAAAGGGAGAGGGAGCTACTTAACTCCGAATTCTTTAGTTGATTACAAATCAAAACCAAGAGGGTTCTACAAAGATTTAGAGGCTATTTTTGCATCCAAGTGAGAGATAGACAAAAAAGAAGAGTTTTCCCAGCAGCAAAATATGTTCCAAATTGTTTTGCAATTGCTTGTATCTCAAGTCTCAACATAAATTGTATAGTTGACAGAAATCACATAACTCGTGACTCTGACAATGATTGATAATCTTAC